GATGAAGGAATGGTGCAAGGAACTTGGATGCTTGAGCTTGAAAGAGAGAGATGGAGGGAGATGTGTATACAAGGCTTAAGGCCAATTTTTTTCAACCTCCAAGACAGAGCTGGAGGCTCTGTTATATAGACAAAAATAGGGGAGAAATGGAGGGAAAAAGTGGAGGGAAAACAAGCCAAGTTTCCCCCCAAAAGTTGTCCCCCCGGATACAGATTTTTGGGGGGAAAAAAGTATACAGCTGTAATGTACTCACCCTGAGGAGCAAGGCTGGCCAGGTTTTGGAGCTGCAGGTGGCCGGCCGGCCACCCCCCATGGCCGGCCGGCCAGGGGTCAAAAGGGCCAAGGTGAATTAATGGCCGGCCACTACAAATTGGTGTCCTCCCAGATGCCCTAAACACAGCCCTATGGTCAAAAATTGGCAACAGTGAACCAGGAGAGAGAACAAGCCATTTTTCAAAGGGGTTCAAAAGGTTCAGGTGGAATTACTGGCCGGCCACCAACTTTTGGTGTCCCCCCATGTGTGTACAACACAAATATGGGGGTTAGGATTGAAGAAAGTGACCCTAGGGTGGTCAACATTGGCTTGGAAGTGAGAAAAACGGGCGTCGGAGGGCGCCGGAGGAATATAACTGGTTGCTGAAACAATTGCTGGCCTCCCACCCTTCTATGGCCTTCCTGGTGATGAAACAAAGGTACCTGCCAAAAATGAACGAAAACCGATGCAAAACGAATGTTTGGGGGCCAGAACGCGCAGTTCGGGGCCCCGAAAACTGCCTGTTAAGCACCGAAAGTGGCATTCGACCATGAAGTGGATCTCTCAGACCTCAGTGTCCCTCAAAAGAGAGTAAATAAGATGCATGCCAAAAATCAGAGCAATCGGAGATAGTTAGGCGGTCCCGAACCGAGCCACATGGCCTGACGGCTTTGAAAAATCGGGAACCGGGCTCCGAAATGGGCAAAATGGCCTACAGCCACAAAATGTAGCCCACGGCCACTGAGAGATGGTCTACGGGACCTCTCCTTCCCTTCAGGAAAAGAAACAGAGAAAAACAAGCCTGGTTCGCAAACCGAGGCAAAGCGCAAAAGAGCTCGGAAGTTTGGAGGCAAGGCTCGCAGCCGAGACTTTGAAACTTCTGGACGAGCACAATATGCGGTATCACCGAGTGCTCAACTGGTGACGTCTGAGTCTCAAGGTCGGTCAAAAATGGGGTGTCTACAGCTACCTTTAACTAATTTACCAAATAAGGTATATCCCCGTATTGTACGATTATTTTATGTTCACTTGACAGCTGATGACCAACAAAATGAACCGTTCAGTCTGACCTCCTATGTGAAAGGGAAAACAATCACACTCATTCTCCGTGCTTTTGCACAAATTATTGGAGTTCAAACAGGAGATTTACAATGCTATTTTCAAAATGAGTCTGCCTTAGAACGAATGTTTGGTGATGTCACTCAGATCTAGACCACAATTTGTGACAACAAATTCAGCGGCACTAATTTACTAGCCAGACATTTAAAACCCCACCTTCGTATTCTTCATCAATGGATAGTTGAAAATGTCACTCCCAAAAAAGGCCATTATGATAGTGTTTCATGTTTTAATGTTTATTTGTTATACTGTTTTGAAACTGGACAGAAATAAAATTTATGCTTCATATTACTCAAAGAAATGATGATTGCAAAACTCGATACTCTGTCTGGTCGGTCACTACCTTATGGAGCTTTGTTAACCACAATTTTCAAAGCGCATGATGTCAACCTTGAAGGGGAACAATATGTCAGAATCACTTCACCAATTTCTGAGTACATACTGACCCGAGGTGGTGGTGCTGACATTTTGATGAGCTCTATTAATATTGAAAATGAACCAATACCCGATGAGGAAGAACCCAATGACAATGCCATGCCACCAAATGAACAACCCCATTACTGGACTAATTATTTGGCTGTGGAACAAGAACGGTACAATCAGCACGTACAATGGGAACAACAAATGGCTAATCAGCTCAATACATTGGGTACTCGGTTCGATGAATTTGCCGCTGCTCAAAACTCACTAATTCAACAATTTAGCGAGTTTCATATAGACTCAGGGAGACATGATGAAGTGACAAGGAACCGCATTGATCAGATTGACCATCGAGTCACTCAGCTGTACCATCACTATTACCCTCCACCGCCAACACCACCTGATAATGATGCTTAACTTGTTCAAAAATCAGTTTAAACAGTGAAACAGATGTAGTGGCTACATGTTTTTTTTTTAATTTTTTTTTGGTTATTTATTTTCTTATTTTGTTGTACTTCTTTTATTTTGTTACTTTGTTGTAAACTTTTGTATTCATGTCATGAATAACAAGTGGTTTTTTTTTAATCATTTTAAAACAAGTTACAATGTTCTGACAATATTTACGAAAAGATTTCGCAAACGGAAAAATTATGGGCGTAGAAAAATGAATATATGTGAACAAAATAAATGTCTAACAAATCATTCATTTCAATGAAATGAATAAAAATTAAACAAATAAAAAATAATTTGTCTGTATCAATTAATACAAAAAATGAAATTAATGTTGTAAAATGAAATAAAACAAGTTTCAAGTAAATAATAAACCTTTTTTTTTTAAAGTAAAAGGGAAAAAAAAAAGTTAATATGAACAAAATTTTTAAAAAATAAGGTGTAAAAAGAAAAAAAAAATTAAATTGAAAAACCGAATTAATAACAAAACTTTCAAATTGTTTACTATTTAACAAAAAGTCAAAACCACGAATATGTCGTGTACAAATATTTTTTCACAAAATTGAAAATAATAAATTGTAATTATTTTATTAATTTCAGTCATTATGAAACCTTTATTACATTACTTCCACCCACCTCCTACCACCCACCACCACTCACCATCCACCTGCTACCACCACCCACCTCCTACCACCTACCACCACCGACGACCCACCACATTACATAATGACTGAAAGTAATAAAATAATTACACATTTAAAACCAGTACTCAGTACGATATTGAGTTGCCTTGTTGACATTCCGTTTCTATCCGTGGCCAACATGATTTTGCCACATAACAGTAGCAATTGCACCGAACGTTCGATTGATACGTTAACCCATGTCACAACGTAGTCAGCTTGGTTTCCAACAAGCTCGTCTGCTTTTGCTTCTGCGGCCATTTCATTATCAGCTTCCATAAATAATGGGTCCATAACTGCATGCAAACGGATCCAATTGTGCACTACACAACATGCAATCATGAGAGGCCCTTGTCTTGTAGACTTGTAATTTGGCATGGACCGCAATATTGGGAAGCGCTTCTTCAGAACACCAAATGTTCTTTCTATGACATTGCGTAATGACAAATGTCGATGGTTAAACAATTCCTTTGGTCCTGAATAATGAAAGCCACAAAACTCTTGCAAGTGATATCGTTGAGACCGAAATGGGGCAAGAAATCCAGGCATGTTTGTGAAACCAGCATCAACTAAATAGTACTTACCTACATGTAAATAATGAATATACAGTTCTGTCAATTAATATGTGCACACAAAAAAAAAAGTGCACCATATGTTATTTGCGGACAGTTACCATTGGGTGGGTGTGGGAACTGTAGATCAGCTCGTGTAATAGAGTCAATCAAAATAGCGTTGTCATGAGCGCTACCTTCCCATCAGGAATTAATAAATGTGAACAACATATCGAAGTCGCAAGCTGCGAGTACGTTTTGCGATACCGTTGATTTCCGACCGCGGAATGTATTTTGTCTTGAAGCGGGGACCCATGCATCGACCAACATGCCATCAATAGCACCGACACAATCCTAATTGACAGATATTTATTTGACATTAAAAGCAAAACAAACTTCGATATTACTTTTATAATTAAAAAGGAAATAATATTTATTTCACATACGTTATTGATATGTACAACTTACAGGATAGTCATATTGTTCATACCTTGAACCACGGAAAAAACCTCCTGTCATTTAAAATTTTTGCCGGTGTGTCGTCTTGGTTACGTGGCCTGATAACCGTTGATGCAAGCTTGCACAATGTCCGCATAATAATTTTTATATGCCGACAAATTGTTTCCGTGGAGTACTGAAATCTATCTGCCAATAGTCGATGACGATCATTTTGTGCAAAAGTGTATAAAAAAATTCCAAGCGATTCCTCGACACTTATATGCATATGCTCAATATCGATAAAGCCATTGTGGAGTAAAGTGTCTTTCAATAAAATGAATGTTTGTGCATCCATTCGCATAATGTTCATCATTGTTTCTGGATGGCCAGTTAATAGGCCGAAGATGTAATCATCACCTTTGAATGGACACGTTCGCTGCGGTCGGCGAGTACTTGAGGCGTTGATTTGGTCATGCATGCAAGCAATCATCAAAAAATCCATAAAATCATAAGTAACCTCATCCTTGTCTGATGAGATCTCCATTGAATTATTTTCTCTGTCGGATGACATATGGTTTTGTCTACATCACAGTAAAACCATAATTATAAAATATGTCATTAATCCTGCAACACATACCATTAATGGTGAAATAGAATTAAAAAGGAAGTATATGAATAGTCGGCCGTAGTTATATTTCAGTGTACACTAAAATTCATAGAAGGACAAAATTTATTTAATACGTGCTCATATTGTCATAACACAACATAATAGATAAGAAAACATAAATTACTTAAAAGTTCAAAAAAAAAAAAAACATACGAAGATAGGAAAGGGAAGAGGATATCATGGAAGGAAAAAGAAAAAAAAAACCAAGTAAGGAATAATGAAATCATTTTTTAGTTCAGACAGGGAGATTTGATAACGCAATCAATAAAGAGCTTCTGACTTCACTGCAAAGCGAGGATCATGGGTAGGCGCAAATGGGTAGGAGTGCGCATAAAAAACCTTCGCCATTCCTTATTCTTGAACAGTGTCAGTGCCTTAATGTACTGCACTGGTGGTATGTCCCCAAGCTCTAGTAATGCATCTTAACATGCATCAAGAGAGTAATCATCACCACCTGCACTTACAGCCTCTGTCTCATTTTCTCGTGCACGTGAATGTCTTGTATTTGCTTGTACATAGGATGTGAAAACTGTGCACACATCATCAAACCCACTTGACCGTGACTTTTTAGAACGACCACTGTCAGTCTGGCTGGTTGTAGGGCCCCTCTTGTGACTTTTGCCCTTTGTTGGATCCATGTACTCATCCCCAAATAAGTCAACAGGAATTGCCTCAGCAGCGTTACTCCCACCAGCATTACTCCCACCAACATCAGGGTTCCAAAATTTATTTAACATGTCATCTTCTTCTTCTAAGTCAAGGGCTCCTTGTGTGGATGCACGAGATAAGGCCCCTATGGCACAACAATTTTCAACAATTTCTGTCATTTCTTGAAAATATTCAAATCCTTTTGTCCTAAACTTCTTCACATTTCTGTTGGTCTACAACAAATACAAATAAAGAATTAAGCACTGTATGTATCATGAAATCTTTAAATTAAAATTATTTAATAGTACAGATTAATGAACAACCTTATCCCAAAATTCATCAGGTGCAACAACAGTGCCTACAATTGGATCCCATCCCAGACCAGTCTGTGCCTGGAGCCGCTTAAATGTCTGATAATCAGCTTTCAATCGCTGATATTTTTGGCGCACCTGTGTTGCTGTATACCGAAATCCATGCAGATTGTGCAACTGATTTACATAATGATTCCAATGCCTAATTGTCCACGAAGTAGTACGGCCAGTTGTTTGATTTTTTCTAACCTCATCTCTCAACATATTTATTAATTTTGTTTCACTTCTGGCCGTCCACATTTTTGTTTCTTGGTTGTCATCAGAATTATTTTCATCCATCTATAAACATACAAATGAAATTTAAACTAGTCTGGGGTAGATATACAAGACAAACAGATCATAGCAGAGCAAAATGATTTCAAAGAGAACACAGATAAAAAAAAAAACAGATGATATTATTTAAAGGAAAAAAATAGTGTAACAGATTACTTCAATTTAAATAGCAGAAATATAACCACAACTAATAAAAAAAATCAGGTAAAAAAATCAGGTAACATTATCTTTGAATGGTAGGAGAAAACCAATAAAAAAGATGTAAGGAAAATGGGACGGGTAGAAAATAAAGTAGGAAAAAAACCAGTAAATAAACCAGTGAATGTAGTTGAAAAAGGGATGGGTAGGTCGACCGGCCGGATGACCTCGGGGACGACCAGCCGGGTGTCCAGGTACACCGACTCAAGTTGTTCACAAGTTCTTTTCTTGCAGAAGGTTCAAACAGCTCACAATTGAAAACAACAACCGATCTGAAATGAGAAATAGGCGTCCACAAATTATGAGAAACCATTTGGGAACTGATTTCAACTTCTCAAAAATTATTTATATATAACAGATTCAGATCGATTTAGCAGCTTACTGCTATTCTTCTTCGCAAAAGGTGAAACAGTTCAGGAAAATAGAAAACATCTTAAAATAAAAAAAATAGTCCCTTACACTTCTTAGAAAATATTTGAGAACTGATTTCGACTCGTATAAAATCATTTGCAGTTGAAGGATATATTTACCAGATTAGTGGGAATTGAATAATTATCGCCAGTGATGGAATGTGTATACTGACTTAATGTAGCACTGTTTCTTCGTCGGATTCGACAATAAATTTCATAAATTTGACCTAAAAGAAAAATAAAATAAAATTATGGATGAATTTTTCAAATCATTTTCGTATAACAAAATATGTAAATAAATTTGTGAGTTCTTTTACGTCGCAGTCGTCGTTGTTTCGTTGCCCGTAATAAGAATCTTCCACAACGCACAAATCGTAAGGAACTCGATTTGTGAAAGATGATACCAGTATAGAGCGGGTTGGGTGGATTCATTATTTATAAAATCAGTCTTCTCTGTGAAGCCCACCCGTGATGAATCTGAAGTACCCGTGATGAATCTGAAGTATCTGAAGTACTGATGTTTGATAGAGAAGCCTACCCGTGATCAATATAAAGGACTGATGTTTGATACAAAGGTGAGCTTCACGTGAATATTTCGGAGATGATGGAATATTTCAGAGACGATGGAGACGACATAGAAGGACATGGAAGAATGCACAAGCGTTGAAAGTAGAGATACAACCTGCCAAACAGGTTTTCATACTATAATTTGAATTCACACACGAAAATGTATTTTGAGTGTTCTATCCAAACGTGAAGCGCGAGTTTACATGTTGAAAACTAATTTGAAAATACAACCAAACAGACCCTAAGTTTCTTAAGAAACTAGTTTGTTTCTTAAGAGTAAAATCTGGCTCTAACTCCCAAACCAGGAATCCGATTCGAGTCCCTTCTTCTCCCATAAGTCTCTCGTGCCTAGGCGGTCGTGTGTGCCAATTTTCATGCTACTCTGACGCCGTTTGGTGATTTTTGAGCGTTAATACCTCGAATTCTAAGTTTCTTAAGAAACTAGTTTGCCTAGAGTGAAATCCGCCCCTAACTCTGAAATTGGGAACTCGATTCAAGTCCCGTCTTCTCCCACAAGTCTCTCATGCCTAGGCAGTCGTGTGTGCCAAGTTTCGTGCTACTTCAACGCCGTTTGGTGATTTTGGACCGTTAACACCTTGAATTCTAATTTTTTTAAGAAACTAGTTTGTCTAGAGTGAAATCCGGCTCTAACTCCCAAACCAGGAATCCGATTCGAGTCCCATTTTCTCCCACAAATCTCTTGTGCCAAGTTTCTGCTACTCCGACGCCGTTTGGTGATTTTGGGGCATTAACACCTCAAATTCTAAGTTTCTTAAGAAACTAGTTTGTTTCTTAAGAGTGAAATCTGGCTCTAACTCCCAAATCGGGAATCCAATTCGAGTCCCTTCTTCTCCCACAAGTCTCTCATGCCTAGGCGGTCGTGTGTGCCAAGTTTCGTGCTACTCTAATGTTGTTTGGTGATTTTAGAGCGTTAATACCTCGAATTCTAAGTTTCTTAAGAGACTAGTTTGCCTAGAATGAAATCCGGCCCTAACTCTTAAATCGAGAACCGGATTCGAGTCTTGTCTTCTCCCACAAGTCTCTCGTGCCTAGGCGGTCATGTGTGCCAAGTTTCGTGCTAATCCGACGTCATTTGGTGATTTTGGGACTTCAACACCTCGAATTCTAAGTTTTTTTAAGGAACTATATTGCCTAGACCAAAATCCAGCTCTAACTCCCAAACTAGGAACCCGATTCGAGTCCCGTCTTCTCCACAAGTCTCTCGTGCCTAAACGGTCGTGTGTGCCAAGTTTCGCGCTAATCCGACACCGTTTGGTGATTTTGAGGTGTCAACACCTCGAATTCTAAGTCTCTTAAGGAACTAGTTTGCCTAAATTGAAATCCGGCTCTAACTCCAAAACTGAGAAGCCGATTGGAGTCCCGTCTTCTCTCAAAAGTCTCTCATGTCTAAACGGTCATGTGTGCCAAGTTTCGTGCAAATCCCACACCGTTTGATGATTTTGAGGCATCAACACATTGAATTCTAAGTTTCTTAAGGAACTAGTTTGCCTAGACCAAAATCCAACTCTAACTCCATAATCGGGAACTCGATTGGAGTCTCGTCATCTCCCACAAGTCTCTCATGCCTAAACGGTCGTGTGTGGCGTGCTAATCCAACGCCGTTTGGTGATTTTGGAGCGTCAACATCTAGAATTCTAAGTTTCTTGAATGCAATGACGTCTTAATTAAGATCAAGAGACGTTACAATCTCCAATGCAATTATGAATCTTAAATTTTAAATCCTTGAACTATTTCATATATAGCATATATAAGAAAATCTAGTAGAGACCCGCCTTCATGTATTGAGATAGGTCTTTTCTCCTTATAAACAACTTCATAATGTTTGTTCTGGATTCATAAAAATTATAATAGCAACACAATGTGCCAAGTGTTTCCAAAACATCTCTTACGCGCAAGATAAAGTCGTATTATGACCAGTCATGAAAAGTCATTCATTTTCAACGGCGTGCTATAACATGTCGTTAAAAACTTTTAATGGCACATCTTATACGTCATGTTTAATTTTTCTATGACAAAGAAGGTGGGTAAAGCATGTTTAACTTTTAATGGCGCATTTGTGTATGGGTAAAGCAGGTCAATCCAACTTTTGATGTATTTGTGAGTTACCGTAACAAAAATGTAAAGAGCACAGAAATATATTATATAAAAAAAAATAGTGGTTGATGCATAATGATTAATCTTTTATACCTTGCTTCCTTCGGAGGATACAAAATGACAAAGAATGGAATATAAGTGAAAATAGATTTTTGTACTCGAATAACTAACCCATGCAAATTTATATAAAGATAAGTCTTATTACTGTTATGCAGCAAATGATGACAGTGGATTAATTTATACTTCTAAAAAAGATGTGTTTATTATGAGTATATTAAATACTTTTCAACATGTAGAAAACTGAAAATCTCGAAGTTTTTTTTTTCCCCTTTTAATGATGTTATGTAATAAAAGATACTACAATAAGGAGCATATAGAAAAAGGAATGCAGAAAATAAATTTTGCTTCGTTTACTTACCTGTTCTCTGTGGCAACAGCATCCACCGACTTCGACCCAATTCCATAAAATTTTAGTGTTCCCAAAAACAAAAATACTCATTAGTGGATGTTTGTTTCAAAAAGAAAATTAAGCATATGCTAATAACATGTAAATTCTAATGGGTCTTTCTAATCAATTCTAGCTCCTTTTATATCTCAACAATTTCCTAATAGTCACCACCACCTAGAACTGATGGCTATACTACACCTTCTGAAAGCAGCCTTAGATTTCTTTTGTTTAAGCTTGGTAAGGTTCATTATTTGTTACTAGACCAAGAGTATAAATTTCTATTCCAAATTTTATAGCTTAATTTGGTGGTTGGTAGTTAGAATGCCTCTTTTTTCATGGTTGAGACACTAACAGATTTTATACTTTCTATTTTCAGAGGCATATTAGCAAACAGGTGGTGTGCATAATTTACACATAAATTAAATTAAAGAAAAAGAACTTGGAAATGAACAAATTGAATCAAAATCAAAATCACATAGGAGATAGACGACTTTGACCGACCCTAGCCTTAAAAAAATCACTTGTTAGGGTTTCAAAAATTAGAGTAAGAGGGAAAGGGACAGAGTGAGAGCAACAAACAAGTGAGAGAGAGAGAACTTAACAGATAGTCATAGTCATCGGTGGTAGTCGCACTCGCGGTGGTGGGCTTTGTCTTTGTGTTTAAAGTCTTCGTTCTCAGCGGGCTTGAAGGATGGAGGCTTGAATGCAGGGGGCTTCGGAGGGAGGTTTCCCAGTTTTCTCTAAATATCGTCCCATTGAGTCGAAGCTCCTTCTACGTCCTTGTACACGAAGTGATAGTTCGCCATTTTTGAATCTCCGATAAACTCTCTCTCACTCTCTCACTCTCTCTCTCCCTCTCCCTCCCTTCCTCCTTATAGTATCGTATTTTGGGGATTTTTTTCTTAGAGATTGGGGATTTGAGATCATGAGAAACAAAAGGGGGAAAGAAAATGGGGAATTAGAAAGAGCGGGAAAACGAAAAAAAAAAAGAAAAGAAAAGAAGATGAGAGTTAGGATAATTTTTTTATTTTTTGTTAAAATAAATTTATTTTTTTTGTAGATAATGAATTTTTTTTCTTTTTTTTTTTAGTTACTAAGGTTGAAAATTTATTTTTTTTATTTTTATTTTAATGATGGTTATTAAAAATCAAGAACTAATTTTTTGTGATAGAGGAAAGGGAACGACAATAGTGGTGAAGGTGGTAGATAAGAGGTGGTGGTGGTGGTGGCGGTGGCGAAAGAGATTAGTGGTGAAGTTGTGGTAGTGG